GCGGTATACGTACTGCTCAACGTTATTGGCTACCGTGTCAACGTCTTCTTCGTACTCTTCTCGTGCCCCTTCTTCCAGATCATCCCACATTTGCTTCAGGCGCGTTCGGTATGCATCGCTTCCTTCTACAGCAGTCTCCTCCGAGTCCAAGAGTGATTGCTTCACGTCCCATTCAAATAGTTGAAAGCCGGTCGTAGGAGGGACAAGATAACTGGTCAAAGAGCTAAGACGAGAGGAAGCGGGGACAGGGATAGAGGTAGAACTAGAGGAAGTCCCGGCAGCAGTACGTGGACGCAAGCGATAATAAAAGTTACGGAATTTGCGGTCCACAGCCTAGAATCATGATCAACACGAGCGGACATGGTTGAATACTACTAGCATGCGTACCTGCTTATAGAGAAGTATGTTCTTCCTGACGTGGGCAGTTTTGAAGATAGAGACTTCATCGAAAATGCGAGCCCGCCGCGCCGATGCCCAGTCCGTGACAGCATGGAATCCACTGAGATCGGGGTCCGATTCCCGTACATATGGCTCAAACTCATCCTTCAAGATGGCCTTGACGAATTTCTTCTGGTTAACGCTTAGAGTGCTCTCCCTGACAGGCTTGGCGGTCATGGCGGAATGAGAAGAAGAACCAAACAGGAGTCAACAGAAGGCCGAACAGGCTATATAGACGTCGAACATTACGCACGTGCTAGCCGTGCACTCATTGAAAGCTGGTTTCAGCGCCCAATCAGGGGATCAGTACACCTTCTCCGGAGTAAAGATGCGTCAAGAGCCGGACCTTTACTCCCTTGCTTCGGCGCACATGGTTCTCACAGATAGGGAGGTGAACCGGATGACGTGTGCTCATTCAGGACGCACACATTCACAGAATGAGAGCGCACTGCCTCCTACAGGACAGGTTGACTGGAGGCGATGAGCAACATAATTCGAGGTCATACTGAGGTTACGCATCATGCCGAGTGCTATACGGAAGACGACGATGGACCAGAAACGATTGCCATCCTGACTGCAACTTTCGGCGCTCGCGCTGGTCACTGCAGCCTATATGGTGGACATGTATTATCTGAGTGCCCAATGAGTGTCGTGTATGTTGATCAGCGTTCCAGCCCGAGCTATTCTCATGCTACGGACGAGATGGCTGAGCGCCAACGAGATTCTTGCCTGCGTAATAGATACAAGACGGTGAAAATAATGCCGGTTTGAGTAGAGGTATCTGATGCAAGCAAGCTCAGCATGATACCTGCGAATCAGGGCACAGACCATTGTGTTCACGCACGATGAGAATCAGAGATCAATTCGAAGGGACACATAGAGTTAGATGCCTCTTTATTCATGAGTCGCAGCGAGAGTAAAGTACAGGAGCAAGATGTCACGGAGACGATGAGTGTGAAGAGTATCGAGCATGATGCGTAGTAGCCCAGAATTGAAGGAAGACGACAGAACGGAATATGTGATAAGCAAGTTTGACCTATAAGACGGTGTGAGAGAAGTGAGCGGAGAGGC